TAAAATAATTTTCATTAATTGTTTTTGTTTATAAATATTTACTTTCTTTAGGAAATGCATTCTGCACCTCGAGGGATTCGAATTCCGCGCTGCTCCCGCCGCTAGTACGCTGCGCGGCCGGAGAGGGCAGTGCGGACCAGGTGCAAGCCATCGATGGAGTCCAGTGTACATACATGGCGTAGAAAATTTGAGATACATAAAATGGCGACTGATCAGTAAACATGTTGAGTGAACCTATCCATTCAGCAGCTGAACGCTAACCAATCACTCAACAGTTGTCTCCTCTGAATGCAAAACCCAAACAGAAAAAAGAATGAAGGAAACGCCCAGGGCGTTTATTACGTATTTCTGATGAGAGCCCTCACTTCTCGCAGTTTCATCTCACGTGAGTTTATTCGTCGATTTACGTATTCGCTGTATGAAAAAACGAGATCACTAGCGCTTCCGGTCTAGTAATATTGCAAATGAAAGTACGTACCTTGTAAATCGAAAGACGATGGGAAGCCGTTAAAAGTAAAGAAGAGGACTCGAGTCTATATATATATTTTTTAAATATGTATTACATTCATATTTACATGTACTATAATCAGAAGTTCACCGATATAATTTTCTTTTCATGTCATTTAAACATGAATTATTTAACAGTTTTCAATGTTTAATAATGTGATATAACCTCGCAATAACAAAAACTAACCTGTACATCTTAATAAATTCCCTTTCTTCTAACGAAAATGGGTCTGAGGCACCACGTAATTTTCTTCTTCTTCTAATAAGGTTATTATTACGTCCCCGAATACGATTGTTGCCAAAAATCAAAACACCCAAGAGATTTTCCATTTTGAATTTCGGTGTCACAATCCGTGGAAGATGGCGTTTATTTTTCTATCTTTTCTTGTATGCTTCACCATTTCGTTTAAAAATTTGTGTCGAGCCAATTCATATGAATGATTTCGCATTTTCACCACCGTAATACCGTGAGCTCCTCATTTTTCACATTTTCGTTCAATGTGCTTTACGTAATAGACCCTCTGATGGGGGCGCGAGACATCTCCCCACTCATCTCTGCTGTTAACCGGACTGTACTAGAATTCACGGGCGTGGAGTTGGCAACACTGGGTGGGACTATTTGGATGTTCACTAAGTTAAGCCGGTCGAGGAAGAAGTGGAAACAAGGGAGTAAGAATTTATCCAGGTTCGTTCAAGTCAAGTTAAGTTCAAATCAGGTTAAAGGGGCCATTCTTGAATACGATCGAAATCATTCGAAAGAATGACAGCCGCGAGCGCAGCGGCTAGCGCGGTGGGTAGTCCGCTGCCAAAGTGGCAACTCGCCCTGGCCGTGGGAGCGCCGGTCGCCCTCGGAGTCGGCTATATATACTACAGAAATACGACAAAGCCGGCTACGAAACCTTCCCGTGGTAAATCAAAACCCTCCACCAGTGAGAATGGAACTCCAGCCAGCAAGCAGATCTCCATCGATGGTGATGAGAACCCCAAGTCCAAACCTACCGCATCACCTGAGAATGAGGTTAGAATGTCCGTCGATTCGTCCACCTTGAATTATTTTCCTGTTAATTGTTTCTCGGAAAAGCGAAATTAGGTCACCCTGTAATTGAGTATGTAGCACTTCAGCATTTTGTTTATGTAACTTATATCAAATTTATTCCATTTTTGCTTTTACACCAAATAAGTAAAATAAGGTTAGATGACTTTCATCTGCACGTGTTTCTAGATTTCGTAGTAGTTCTTTTGAATTTTAATTGGATTTTATAGCTTAAGTTGTATTGGGTTATTGGTAAACGTGTTAGAGTTTTCATTTTAGAGTCCTCTGGATAAGGCGCAACGATTCAAGAATGAAGGAAATAGTTTTTTTAAAGCTGGCAAGTTTGATGAAGCGATTCTCCATTATAACAAAGCCATTGAGACTTGTCCCACAGAGAACACTAATGATCTGGCCACCTTTTATCAGAATCGAGCAGCAGCATATGAGCAGTTGGTAATTGCACGATTATATAAACATTCTCATTGGGTTATAGTGTAAGATTTAAACATAATTTGTATCATACCCATACATACGTTCGCTTCCTTTTTACAATAGAAAAAATTCAGTGCCGTGAAGACTGACTGCACAAAAGCATTGGAGTTAAATCCATTGTATGTGAAAGCTTTACAACGAAGAGCTCGAGCAATGGAGCATAGCAATGAGTTAGAAGCAGTCCTGGAAGACATCACGGCAGTGTGCATTCTGGAACGTTTCACTAATCAAAAGTCCCTCCAGATGGCAGATCGAGTACTGAAACAGCTCGGTAAGTAGATATATCCAGTTTCTTCAGTAGTGGCATTAATTTTGAATATTTATGCAGGAAAACAGCATGCGGAAGAGCACATGGCAACAAAAAAGCCTATAATGCCTAGCAGCCATTTTATAAAAACATATTTGAGCACCTTTCATCGAGAACCAATATGTCCCATTATTGATGAATCTTCTGACAGTGAAAAACTGTAAGAACAGATTTCATATAATCAACTTGTTAAGGTGATATGAAAGAGTCAGTCTATACATGTCTGAGAGGTTAAATCGTTGGTAAAAGTATTCTCCGAATAGGGTGTACCGATTCGTTTTAAATTTTACCACGTAAATATTGAGGCCCTGAGGTAGGTCCTGAAACTCATGAAATTTCATTTTTCATAAAAAATTTATCTATCATGAATTAGAACCAACGTGGAGTGGTCCATACACATTTTCAATGTTTTACGCTTCTTATAGGCTTACATTCGAAAATGAAGAGTTTCAGGACCTAGCTCGAACAATTTAGAATACCGTAGAAATGGAATATTACCGAGTCAGATGGGGAAATATGGAAAATACTTTTACCAACGAAATTGCAAGAGAATGATGGCTAGTCTCGTGGCTAAAACGTTTTTAGAGCAAGAATTTAGTTGCACTTAAACGTCACAGATGGCGACGTTGATCCTAAACAGTCGTTAGAATAATGAATTCACGGGATTTCGATAGTTTTACATCGATCTCTTCATCATTGCTTTACTGAAATGACGTATGGAACGCTTAAATTTATATAATTCTCAACATAGACGGTAAAAGACCAACATAAATATAAATGTTGGTAACGGAACGCGCCAGCTTATGTTACTACTTGAGTATTCAAAATGACGTTACCATTAAAAGGAGTATAGATGAACTTTAATTTAACGACCTGAATTAAATTTCTCAATGCCTTTCATATCATCTTAAGAAGATAATTGATCATCGTAGTTAGGATATTTAAATTTATACTTTAATACTTAAACTAAAGGGAAATGGGATGACATACAATTTTCAGCAAATATATATCAGCTTCTCACTGATATCGCAGTAATCTTGATTAACATTATTTTTATTTTATATTATCATTAATGTTGCTTGGAAACTATATAGTCTTTTCTTTTTCCTCTAGAGCACTTATTAACATCCAAGATGCATTAAAAGATGAGAGATACGATGACATAATACCTTTGTGCACCGAAGTAATCGACAGGGAAGAGAATATAGACTGTTCGTACAAAATGAAAGTTCTTCTAACACGTGCCACCTTTTATAATCTTCTGGGACAATATGACAATGCAATTCAGGATTTAAATACTGTAATAAGTAGCCAAACTGCAAGTAATGAAGTAAAAGTGAATGCACTGATCAAGAGGGCCTGCATACATATGCAACTGGAAAATATCGAAGCTTGTTTCACTGACTTCGATGCTGCGGTCAAAATTGATGCAGACTGTGGAGACATTTATCATCATAGGGGTCAGGTAAGATATTCTTATCAACAGAAGTAAATGAAACTAAATCAATTGACAATTGAAATTTCCAGATAAGTTTGCTTATGGACAATATCGATGAGGCGAAGAAAGATTTTCAAAGAGCTGTTGACTTTAACCCCAATTTTGGAGTAGCTTACGGTCAAAAGTGCTATGCAGATTACCAATACGCTGTATTAAAGAGAGACGTTGAAGGTATTGAAACTGCCATAAAAAATTTCGAAAATGCTCTTGAAAAATTCCCCAATTGTTGCGAGTGCTATACACTTTATGCTCAGGTACAATCATTATAATCTGTTTTATCACTTTAAGGTGAAGTGAAACCCCCTTCAAATCAGTTGATTCGAATACACTTTTTTTTAAGGCTATTAGACCAAACTGTCCGAAACTTTGACATATCACTCCTAATCGTCTAAGAATTGTCCTGACACATTCAAACTTTGGATTTTTTAACTAAATTTTTTAACTCAGCCCAGACCAGAATCAAAATGGCGTCGAGCTCTCACATTTCGATCAATATACAATTATCAAAGGCTCTGATATGAGAATCGAAAGGGTCAGGGCAATTTTACGACAATTTAGAACACTCTTGTAATCGATAAACTCGCATTTGAACGGGATAAAGGCAAAAAAAGTGTTTTACGCACTTCTATGCTAAAACTATGGGAATACGAGGTCTCGGAGTGACAATTTAATCGACCTGGAAATCACAGATGGCGCATGGGGTCTCTCTGCAGTCAATTTGGGCTCCAGAAAGCATGAATTCATAGGATTTCTGGAGTTTTGCTTCGATTTCTTGATAATTACTGTAGGAAAACGACAGATGGAGTATGCCATTTGGTACAATACCCAATATAATTCGACACAACTGTCAATATAAAAACGAACATCGGCAACATAGGCATTTAGAAAAATCTTTATCGACGTCGATCAAGTCCCTCGACGTGTTTCACTTCACCTTAATCGGTATACAGTATCGTAATTGACATAATTTCTTCGTTGAGTGGAATGCCTACATTTTACAAATAATAATGTATCAATGAATGGATTTAGGTGCTGTGCGACACACAAGAATTTGCCAAAGCTGATGACTGCCTCGTAAAAGCATTTACCTTAGATCCAAAAAATGCCACGGTTCTGGTTCACCGAGGCTTGCTGTATCTCCGATGGAATCATATAGAAAAAGCCACTGGCTATATTAGGAAGGCACTAGAATTGGATGACAAGTGTGAATTTGGATATGAAACCCTAGGAACGATTGAGGTTCAAAGGTAAAACTGAAGATCAAAGCATTCTCATCAAGTTATTTTCATTTATTGCAATCCTCTTTTATCCAACACAATCTCCGTATTTTTCTTATTAAGTGTTACAATGCGTTGCCGCCATTAAAGAGTGCACTATTATTTTTATTAATAAGAATTAAAGGCAAATTGTAGTCACATTTAATGACATTGTTGATTTCAACGATGAAACGATTGCAATGAAATAGAAGGGTTTGAATAAATCTTTTAGGTCCTAACATTTTTCCAAATGATGTTTCTCGTTTCTAATTCTAGGGGGAATCTGAAGGAAGCAATAGAACTTTTTGACAAGGCTTTGAAGTTGAGTCGGACCACAGTGGAGCTGGGTCATATTTACAGCTTGAAGGATGCAGCAAAGTCCCAGCTCTCTGTTAGCGAAAGACTTGGACCAGACGTGGTTTGGAACCTACAGAGAATGTCGCAAACTCTTTGAGATACCTAACTTAGAACGTATCCAGGACTGAGGTTCACACCTAACCTAAAACCACAGAGCGAAGAGTCATATCTTCACGTACAACCAACCAGGTTAAAGCCTACGAGTTTCTCCAGGGAGTCACCGGTTAAATTTCTTTTTCATATGTAGCGCCTCAAAAGGAAGTTTATATCTCCTCTGGAGAAGCGGTTTAGTGTTGATAGAGGAATATATTTGTTACCAAAGTCGGCCTGTCGAGTTGGCTCACTGTACGACTGTGGGGAATATTTCTTTGTCCTTTATACACCGTTTTATATAAATTATATTAATAACTCCCGACAGAGTCCGAGCTAGATCTAGCAGTTGACACTTTACTCGAACACCAGGCTGCTCCGATTTTGGGAAATAAATGAAATCTCCAGTCATGGATTCATTTGCATGGATAATAAATGAAGTTGATTGTTAACATTAATAAGAGCTTTTTATAGATCGTATTAGTTTATGCGTATATGCAGAACGCTGTTCCGCTTCTTTGTTTTCATACCTCATTAATCCGTTCGAAACCGAAGCATTGTTCCTATTTGTATCCGAAGACCTGTAGATGACGGACATAGTGCGTCATAGGATTCGAATGGATTAAGCAAACTATGATGTGGAGTAGAAATTGAATTTTTCAATTTGCGTGAGCACTTAATTCCACGCGAATTGTATAAATACAATAACGAGACTGCTGGACAATTTCTACAGCAAGTCTGTCAGGTGGAAAGAAAAAGTTTCGAGTGAGGACACGCTATTTCCGCAGAATGAGAAATTTTTCACAGAAATAAGATCATTATTTCTTTTTTTTTTCCTTTTTCCTTTTTTGGGAAGCGTAGAACTTTTACCGCTCTTTTTAGCAAGATCTTGTCGAATACTTTTGTGTAGATTGCTAGTGGATACCAGTGTTATGTAAAAACAAAAAATTATTGTTAAATATATAATTAAACGATCCATCATTCCAGCCTAGCTTTGTCTCTACCTCTTGCAAATTAAATTCAGGAAACAAGACAGTTTGTTCAAGTTGCTCCTAATTTTCCAACAAATTCAAGAAAGTGTTTACTCTTCTGTTTTGTTATGTTTGTACTTTTCGGCATATTATTCTTGATGTCTATATTGTAAAATATTTTATGCAACGCAAGTATGGTTTGCACATCTTTTACTGACAATGAACGTGAAGTAATGACGGAAAGTGGAAGCTGTACAGAACAGAGGCTTAAAATATCTTACAAGGAAGGTACCTGAGGTGTCCCCCTCCGATTTTGTTCATTTTTTAATATGTTACAGAGGACTAAAATCTAAGGGACTCGTGTTTTTTTTTTTATCGGCGGATAAACACTTTTAGGGGGTGAAATCAGGCTTCAAAGTTGGCCGTGCAAGGGGGTGAGTTGGCTGTTTCATATAGAGGCACTCGACCGATTTTCATGAAACAACCGTCAAAATGTAGGGAATGAAGAATTATGAAACATGCATTTGGAATTTTTCGAAAAAATTCATTTTTAAGGGGTGAGCCACCCCTTTGAATACTTCTTTTACCCCTTACGCGAGCAGTGATTGCTCTATCCAAATGAAAGTTGGTTAATTTATAGACCAGAACAATACAAAAAAAGTTTCATTAGGATAGAACTATTACTGCTCGCGTAAGGGGTAAAAGAAGTATTCAAAGGGGTGACTCACCCCTTAAAAATGAATTTTTTCGAAAAATTCCAAATGCATGTTTCATCATTCTTCATTCCCTACATTTTGACGGTTGTTTCATGAAAATCGGTCGAGTGCTTCTATATGAAACAGCCAACTCACCCCCTTGCACGGCCAACTTTGAAGCCTGATTTCACCCCCTAAAAGTGTTTATCCGCCGATAAAAAAAAACACGGGTCCTTTAGATTTTAGTCCTCTATAACATATTTAAAAATGAACAAAATCGGAGGGGGACACCTCAGGTACCTTCCTTGTTAGTGTTGTCGACTCGTGGGTGCGCGATAGAACCACGTCGGGGAGAGTCGAGAGAGTTGTGGTTGCAAGAGAATAACTCGTACTCGTGATAATGAGTTACTCAGGGAACACTGTTATATAACTGTTGGGGAAATGTTACGTTTTCGAAACTAACATGTTATGTAGCATAAAAGTAACACGGAAGTTAGATGTTAGTTATTATTTCCCACTCAGTAAGGTAACATGTTATGTAACATGTTATATTAAGGTTATAATTTCAGTTACCGTAAAATAGTATTAATTTTTCATACGTTTAATAAAAAAGATCACGCAATTTTATCCAAAGTTATATAATTTGTTATTATTTTTTGGTACTTGACAATAGTTAGATACTAAATGACAAATCGGACTTTCAATGAAATTATGTAATGATGAACTATCTGATTTTACTTAAAGACAATTAGGATTTCATTCGACTAGCAAACAATGACGGATAATGTATATGCGCGTATGAATTAAAGTCACATTTTTTCGTACGAGTAGTAAACAAAATATGGCATATATTAATCTTATGACATTTGGTGATGAATTATGACAATGACGATGACGATGATGTAATAAAATAAATGACACTTAGCACCAATGTTTTGTTACAAATATGTACTGCATATACACAGTAATATCAGGCCAGTAACATAATGTAAGATGAGAGTAACAAAGTTTTGTTACATTTATATAGATATGATAGTAACAAATGTTATGTAACCTGTTAGCTCCATGTTACATAACCGTTCAGTTACTGCATTGTAACAAATGTCATGTAACTAGTTAGGTCTATGTTACGTAACTGTTAGGTTATTACATTGTAACAAACGTTATGTTATTTGTTAGTTTTAAGTTACGTAACTGTTAGATTTGGTGTTCAGTGGGTGTTGAGTTAGTCGAAATCCTAACCTCGTTTTTAAACATCCGACCTTCAATACATTCCTCACCATTTTCTAAGTGAATTACATTTGGCAAGACTCAAAAAGTCGAAAACAGCGAGGAGCGTTTTTTTTTTGCAAAAAATTGAGATTTCCCCGTCATAGGCCCTGTTGAGTTAACCGAAACCCCGATCCGTTTTTCAACGGCTCCGGGCCAGACCTACACATTCCTTATACTTTGACCAATACACGCCATCGAGCCTCAAAGGATCGGTTATAAACATAACCTCATCTCCCCACAAGACTCGACAGCGGCTAACGGCATGATGGCCGCGACACTTGCTGCCCGGAATCCAGGGACCTTCCTCAGAGTAAAGAGAGTCACGAAGACCCGTGGGTAACTCTGCGGTGTAGCGCGAGGGAACCTCTGTCGGTAACCTTCTAAGCGGCTCTTATATACTGTCCGGCGGAATCGCTACCGCTTGCGAGAAAGCCGTGCGCAACCGCAACGCGCATGCGCACCAATGGTACGAAGTTAAACACGGAGGTGTAACGGTGAATTCTTTGCGTTATGAAATATCGAGCTCGGAAGAAGGGAATTTTAGAATTCTGCGCAGTTTGTAACGTCGTTTTCCATGAGCTCGTATATGGATACAGATAATAAATATAGCGGCCCAGGTTTTTCTACTTATTTTGGATAAGAAATTGTTAAACATTCATTGTTAGAGCCACTCATTCCAAAAAATGTGGAGCCTAGAAAATGGGAATTCTAGAATTCTGCGCAGTTTGACGTGCTATCTTTCATGAGCTCGTATATTTAAACAAGAAATTAATATAGCGGCTTAGGTTTTTCTACTTATTCTGGATAAAAAATTATTAAACATTCATTGTTAGAATATATCATTTAAATAAATGTGGAGCCTAGAAAATGGGAATTCTAGAATTCTGCGCAGTTTGAAGTGCTACCTTCCATGAGCTCGTATATTTATACAGATAACAAATATAGCGGCCCAGCTTTTTCTACTTATTTTGGATAAAAAATTGTTAAACATTCATTGTTAGAGTCGTTCATTCAAAAAAATGTGGAGCCTAGAAAATGGAAATTCTAGAATTCTTCGCAATTTGACGTGCTATCTTTCATGAGCTCGTATATTTAAACAAGTAATTAATATAGCGGCTTAGGCTTTTCTACTTCTTCTGGATAAAAAATTATTAAACGTTTATTGTTAGAATATATTATTCAAANAAAATGGAGTACAAACGAATAAGAATTTAAGTATCCGAATTTTCCTTCTATCGTAGGCCGTTTATCCAAAGTGCACCATTCTCGCGGTATTAATATCCATTGGCTAAATATAAAAATATACTGGTAAGAAAATTTGTGCCGTCCCTTGAAAATTCAGAGCGTCGTCAAAATAGAGGTTCGCGCAGAGAGTATAAAATGGTCTACGAGTAGTCGCGGCTTTATACAAAGAGGGTTTCTCTTGTGCGAATCTAGAAACAAACCATTCTGCCGAGGAGAAAGAAACAAAACAGGAAAATGAAGGAAATGGATCGAAATATTCGTCGAGTCTTGGTGATGTCTGATGTAGGTCTCAGATTCGCAGATTTATCCTCATAGATAATCTGTTAATTTCTTTAGTTGCCTTATGGCGTCCAGAGGCGTCGTTTGAGTTATCAGACCTCTTCTCTCTCATATATTACATACTCGCATCGATCGATATACAATTATTGAAGGCTCTGACCTCTTCTCTCTCATATATTACATACTCGTATCGATCGATATACAATTATTGAAGGCTCTAATATGAAAAACGAAAGCGTCAGGACAATCGTACAACGAATTGGAGTACTCTAGTTATCGAGAAATTCGCATTTGGACGGGATAAAGGCAGAGAAAGTGTCTTATGCGCTTCTGTACGAAAACGAAGGTAACAGGAGGTCTCGGAGAGAAAATTTAGTTGACATTTAAATCACAGATGGCGCAGGCTGGCACTCTGCAGTCAATTAGGGCATCAAAAACCATGAATCCGGGGGATTTCTGGAGTTTTACTTCGATTTCTTTATAATTATTGTACGGAAACGACACATGGAGTACGCCATTTAGTAGAAAACCCAATATAATTCGAAAAAACTGTCAATACAAAATACGAACACCGGTAACGTAGGTATTTACAAGAAACCTTTTTGCCGACATCGATCAAATTTCTCGACGTGTTCCATTTCACCTTAAATGTCCATTACGCGATGATTGAAGTAAAGAGACTAGGCGCTCAGCCAAGACTCGTGAACTTGTCAGAGACGCAGCCGCATATCTTTATGAAGTACAATGACAAACTTAAAAAATAAAATACATATGGTTAGAGTAAAATACATACATCGGCGGAAAATGTATTACTAGAGGTCCTTGACTTCCTCAACAACGATTTCATACCGTTCGTCGTTAAACGAAGCTACAACGCTTCTCGTGGTCTTCACATTCTATGATCAGAGACCTGAGATTCTGACCGGAAGTCGGAGGTATAAATCACGAAGTAGTATAAGGAGATCCAACGACATGTATTGAAATAGTCCCCACTTTAGAGGTCCAAGATCTTCGGATTTTATCCGATCTAGTTTCAAGAGCGCCTTCTCCATGAAATTTTGCAATTAAAAATTATCATCTGCCAGCGTGTTTTCTAATCTTTATCAGGTTAAAAACATCACGTCCACTATATCATACTTGGGTTATCGTTTCTCATTACGTATCTTAATTGCAAAATTATAAGCATTTTAGGTCATTTACGTCGATAGGAAATGTTTCGGTCATGTAGGGCCGGAGTTCCCTCTTTTTCCGCAAGTAGCGCTCGCATAGTTAAATCAGCGAAAATCTGAGATCATGGATCCCGATTCTGAGGCTACTTTCTGCGGAACTGACCACAGGCGTTATATCTTCTTCTACCACTTCATGGTATAAATCGCGAAGTAGAATAAAGAGATACAATGCCATGTATTGAAATCGTCCCCACTTTAGGGGTCCAAGTTCTTCAGATTTTTTCTGATCTAGTGCCGAGTGCGCCTCCATGAAATTTTGCAATTAAAAATTATCATCTGCCAGCGTGTCTTCTAAACTTTATCCTGTTAAAACAATCACGTTCTGTATATTACACTTGGATTATCGTTTCACATTATGTATTTTAATTGTAAAATTATAAGCATTTTAGGTCATTTACGTCGATAGGAAATGTTTTTGTCATGTAGGACCGGAGTTCTCTCATTTTTCGCAAGTAGCGCTCGTATCGTTCAATCAGCGAAAATCTGAGATTATGGGTTCCGATTCTAGGGCCACTTTCTATGAATCCGACCATAGACGTTATGTCTTTTTACACTACTTCATGGTATAAATCACAAAGTAATATAAAGAGATCCAACGCCATGTATTGAAATCGTCCCCTTTTAATGGTTCAAGTTCTTCAGATTTTTTCCGATCTAGCGCCGAGAGCGCCTCCTTCAGGAAATTTTGCAATTAAAAATTATCATTTGTCTTCTAATCTTTATCATGTTAAAAACATCACGTTCTGTATATTATACTTGGATTATCGTTTCTCTTTACGTATCTTAATTGCAAAATTATAAGCATTTTAGGTCATTTATATCGATAGGAATTGTTTTGGTCACGTAGGATCGGAGTTCCTTCTTCTTCCGCAAGTGGCGCTCTTATCATTAGATCAGCGAAAATAGGTATGTCTCCTTATACTACTTCATGGTACAAATCATGACTACGTCGCCCAAGATTTGCACAATTCTCAGAGTTAATACAGTTTGATGAGATCGAGGGAGACGGACATCGATGCGACCCTTTGAGCACCTTTGGTGATTTTTCGGTCGGTAAGTAGTACCTGAAGAGGTAGCGATTTCTAGGTTACCAATTCCTATACGCTCATTTGTCGAGCTTGATGACAAAGGCTTCGCCAGGAAGGATAACGAGCTGCTTGAAGTACACATCCTTGCCCATTTTGTTCGCAGGACCAACGACAACGTGGCCTCCATAATAAAGGTTCGATAAGTCCTTTGTTTGCGTCTCATTGCCAAGATTGGCAACCAAAACGTACGAGTTTCGCCTTGGATACCATCTTTCAACGACGATCAGCTCATCTGCCGTGTATCTACAAAGGAAACGTTATTTGGAATTATTTATAACATTTTCTTCAGGAAACTTGGTAGAGTTTCGCGCCAAATACACTGAAAAGCATGCGCAAATTGCACCGAATATTTAAGGGTCATTCTATATATATATAATAATAATATATAAAACGTCAAAAAATGTATAAAACTCATGTGATCTCAATTGGGAGAAATTCACATTTTAATATACAGAATGACCCTTTCATAACACCTTAAGGTGAAGTGAAACCCCCTTCAAATCAGTCAATTCAAATAAAACACTTTTTTTTAAGGGTATTAGACCAAACTGTCCGAAACTTTGACACATGATGAAGAATTATCCTGACATATTCAAAATTTAGATTTTTTTTTAAATTTTTTAACTCAGCTGAGACCAGAACCAACATGGCGTCGAGCTCTCATATTTCGATCAATATACAATTATCGAAAGCTCTGATATAAGAAACGAAAGGATCAGGACAATTTTACAACAATTTAGAACACTCTGGTAATCGATAAACTTGCATTTGAACGGGATAAAGGCAAAAAAAGTGTTGTATGCGCTTCTATGCCAAAACGATGGAAATACGAGGTCTCGGAGTGAAAATTTAATTGACCTGGAAATCACAGATGGCGCAGGGGGTCCCTCCGTAGTCAATTAGGGCCCCAGAAAGCATGAATTCAGAGGATTTCTGGAGTTTTACTTCGATTTTTTTATATTTATTGTACGAAAACGACAGGTGGAGTATGCCATTTGGTACAATATCCAATATAATTCGACACAGCCGTCAATATAAAAACGAATGTCGACAACGTAGGCATTTAGAAAAATCTTCTTTATCTATGTTGATTAAGTTCCTTGACGTGTTTCACTTCACCTTAATGTCAAAGACCGGATTCAGTAGACTCGAAACGACCCCTCACCTGATGTCGCAATTCGCCGCAGCTTTATTATCCTTATAAACCGCCTTGACGTATATCGTAGGAGTCTCGGAACGAAGTTTCACCATTTTGGCAACTGCACCGATCAAACTGGTTTCCGTCGGTGCAGTTGGTTCCGATAACCAGGCAAAGACTCCATTAGTTGAGAATTTGTCCGCGACTCCGTCAGTCTTATCCCAAAACATAGGAGTTAAGTTGTGGAGGTCCTTCAGGTCCTGGTGGTCCTCGCAGTTGCAGTCCACCATTCCTATCTGGGGAAATCATGCACCATATGATTAAATAAATACATACAATAATGACAATTTAATTATCTTAACAGGTTCACGGTAAATTGATTATCTAGTTGGGTCCACGATCGAGGGAGACGACGACAAATGCCAAACTGATGTTATTGAAATTTCCAATCGATATCTTTCCTAAACGCCTCCATTGATCATGTTGATGTAGGTGTTAAATTAAGAAGGAAAAGTTAATAAAGCCATTCGCGTATATTAAAAGGTCTTTAGATCCTTATTACGACACTATTGGCCGTTTAAAGGAAATTAAACGCCGATTAGAGAGATCATTCAAGTAAAGAAGAGTGGTAGCACGCGGTTGAGACCGTGAACTTGTTCGAGATGCAATCGCGTCCCTTGACTTTGGTACTTTGTCCTTATCATATAGTAGTTTGTCCTTATTATGCCAACATTGGCTGTCTAAAGGAAATTAAACGCCGGTTAGAGGGTTCATTCAAGTAAAGAAGAGCGGTAGCGCGCAGTTAAGACGGTTGAGGCTATGAACTTGCTCGAGACGCAACCGTGTCCCTTGACTATTGTCATTTGATCTTATTATGACAACATTGGCCGTTTAAAGGAAATTAAACGGAAGTTGGATGGATCATTCAAGTAAAGAGGAGCATTAACGAGTAGTTGAGGCCGTGAACTTGCTCGAAATGCAACCGTGTTCCTTGACTATTGTCATTTGTTCTTATTATGACAACATTGGTCGTTTAAAGGAAATTAAACGCTGGTTGTATGGATCGTTCAAGTAAAGAGAAGCGCGCAGTTGAGGCCGCGAACTTGTTCGAAATGCAACCGCGTCCCTTGACTATTGTCATTTGATCTTATGACAACATTGACCTTTTAAAGGAAAATAAACGCCGATTGGAGATCATTCAAGTAAAGAGGAGCATTAACGCGCAGTTAAGGCCGTGAATTTGCTCGAGATGCAATCGCGTCCCTTGACTATGGTAATTTGTCCTTATCATATAGTAGTTTGTCCTTATAATGCCAACATTGGCCGTCTAAAAGAAATTAAACACCGGTTAGAGGGATCATTCAAGTAAAGAAGAACGGTAGCGCGCAGTTAAGACGGTTGAGGCTATGAACTTGCTCGAGACGCAACCGTGTCCCTTGATTACTGTAATTTGCCCTCATTTTCACCTCACCTCATCTCCATAGAATATGCTGGGGGTTCCTGGCAACATCATGCCCAACAAGGATGCCGCGATACTAGCATTGGCAACATGAAGAACCGAGGCGACCCTCTTCGTATCCACGCCACCAATGCTCCAGTGGACCCAAGGGTGACTAGGTTTCTCAAAAAGCAGACCCTCAGTGACCTTCCTTATCTGATTAGCAACGTTTTTCGTCCCATTATAGACCCTCAACGGCACGTCCACCAGGTCGATCCTGCTCAGGAGGACATTCTGCACAGGAGGCGTCGAAGCAGCGTGCAGGGTCTCCACGTCACAAATAAGTACCCTCTCAGGACCCAAAATCGACTTCCAGTGTTTCAACATCTCCACAAAGTTGCTCTCATTAACATAATGCTTCAGGCCCTTTAAATAGAACCCATCGACCCCACGTTTGGTCCAAAACCGGATGGCGATGGTCACCACGTGGTCTTCTCTAAGCTCTCCAAAAGTGGAGTTGCTGGTCAGCTCCTGCGGCTCCTGGAAGGATGGTCGTGGCGACAGGACCTCTCTGATGGTTTGGAAGGACATAGGTGCTGGGGAAGGAGCCTCCTTCGACAATGTTGGACCATCTGCGTCTCGCATCTCGCGAGAGGACTTTTCGGAACCGTTTGATCCTGGCGTTTCTGTTAGTGCCTCTCCAAAGTCCTTCACCAAGGGGTACAGGGGCAAGTCCAGCAGGAGGGACATGTTCCTTTCGTGGATTTGGCGCACCAGGGATGAAAAGTCATCCATGGTTCCCAGGTGTGGCTCCAGGTCGGTCAGACTGGTGATGTTCGAGTAGTGCTCCGGGTAATGGGATGCTCGGAAGATGGAGTTTAGTCTGATTCCTTGGACACCCAGGTGCTTCAGGTAATCTAGGCGCATGGATATCCCTCGAAGATCGCCTATCCCGTCGCCGATTTTGGAGGAGTCCTGGAAGGATGCTGGGAAGATCTCGTAGAAGAGGCTCCCCTGCCACCACTCTACTGGAGGATTACACCTACACGAGGGGGATAAAACAATACTATCATTGATTATGAAATTATGAAATGTAGATTCGTTTTACTCAGTGCCCGGGTACCACAGTGCTGCCGTGATAACGTCATTTTTTGTTGTCGTCGACATCTATGACGTAGTGTCTTTAGATTCCGACGTCGTAATGACGTTATTTTCTGGTCATTGTTCATTTGCGTCGTGATGACGTTATTTTTTAGTAACCATTGGTCTGCGACGTCGAACGTTCAAATTATGACATCGTGATGATATTGTTTTTTGTTCATTATTGGTCTGCGATGTCATATGTATAAACGACGTCGTAATGACATAAGTTTTTGGTAGTCATTGGTCCCAGATAAACTCAAATAAACTGGATGCAACATTTCTTCAAAATTACCAATATTCATTTGAGTCAAGTAATTATTTTTTGAATTACCTTAATATTTCTTAGGTACTATTCAATGAAATATTTCTTTGGTTAAATTAATTCTTTAGTCGGTGTAACACTGAGTTGAGTTGACATGGGGAATTATTGCTCCTAATTGGAGTCATTATTTAATCCCTCTTGATCAGTCATTCGAAGTTTCTTTTACGTTATGTAGACACCATTATGACGTGTTTTTTTGGAAATAGACGTTGTATTGACATCACTGTGCTACCTTGGGAAGAAACTCGATTAAGGAGACATGAAAGTGTTGAAGAAGACTCCTTTGTCAAACTTTTCTCCGAACTGGGTGTACCGAAGCGTTTCAAAATTTACAACGTGAATATGAAGGCTAGAAAGAAGGTCCCGACATAAATGAATTTTCAATTTTAAAAAAATTTTTGTATGCATGTTATTAACAATTGTTTATAAACAGTGAAATTTCATGAGTTTCAGGACCTTCCGTATAGTCTCCCTATTCACGTTGTAAAGTTTCAAACTATTCGCTAAACCGAGTTGGGAGAAAAGTTTTATTAACAAAACCTCTTCGACGTCGCTTTCACATCACCTTAAGGGGATGTGAAAGTGGCATCCGAAAGCTCAATCGTTCATAAAACTTTACTCCGAACTGGGTATCTCAAATCGTTTCATACTTTAAAACGTGAATATGGAGACTCTAAAGTAGGCTCTGAAACTCGCGGAATTTCTTTTTTTATAAACTGTTTTTAAAATACCTGTAAACAAATTTGAAAAGAATTGAAATTTCATGAGTTTCAGGACCTTCCTCATAGTCTCCCCATTCACGTTGTAAAGTTTCGAACTATTCGGTAAACCGAGTTGGGAGAAAAGTCTTATAAACAAAACCTCTTCGACGTCGCTTTCACACCCCCTTAACCCAAATTCAAAGTTCTCGAATTAAATGGTAATTATCAAAGTTCCATACCTTTTTGGCATCGTCGCAATTACACCGATAACCAGAGCTGTACAACCAATGAGTACGGACATAAGGGACCAGAAACAAGTCTTTCTTATCAGTGGCCAATTCCATTTCATGAAACGATAGTCCTTCGGAGTCTTCGGTACCATTAACTGGATCCCAACCAACGGGGGCTTCCCGCCGTTCTCCTGGTTGTAAAACTAAAGGGTTAAAATGTTTAGTGACCAATCGTGTTAGGAAGCAGCGAGAAAGCGTAATGGTAGATTAATTACATCTATGTCGACACACCCTTTCCCGATTAAGTGTTTTAATTCAACGCGTCCAAGCTATTTTCAGTGCACTCGTTAAGGTGAAGTGAAACCCCCCTTCAAATTAGTTGATTCGAATACAACACTTTTTTTAAGGGTATTAGACCAAACTGTCCGAAACTTTGACACACCACTCCTGATCATCTAAGAATTGTCCTAACACATTCAGAATTTGGATTTTTGGAAACTATTTTTTAACTTTGCCCAGACCAGAACCAAAATGGCGTCGAGCTCTCATATTTCGATCAATATACAATTATTGAAGGCTCTGATATATGAATCGAAAGGGTCAGGTTTTTAAAATTTCTAATTTTTGTGTAAAATAATCAATAAATAAGCGATAAAGGTTGTAGAATATGTTATCGCCATATTGTGCAGTCAGAATGCATCGTGCCAAAATATAAGAACGGTATATCAAATGTTTTTCAAAAATCGAATGAAATTCGAAATTAAAGCGGCATTTCGAAGATCAAAGAAATTCATGAATTGCCTCTTTATGTCATTTTAATGGCCGTAAATATAGTAAAATATGCTATCGCCATTTTGTGCAGTCAGGAGGCACCGTGCAAAATATAAGAACGGTACATGAAACATTTTCCAAAAATCGAATGAAATTCAAAATTTAAGCAGCATTTCGGAAGTCAAAGAAATTCATCAGTTGCATCTTCATGTCATTTTAATGGCCGTAAAGGTAGTAGAATATGTTATCGCCATTTTGTGCAGTCAGGAGGCACCGTGCAAAATATAAGAACGGTACATCAAACATTTTCCAAAAATCGAATGAAATTCAAAATTTAAGCAGCATTTCGGAAGTCAAATAAATTCATCAATTGCCTCTCTATGTCATTTTAATGGCCGTAAATATAGTAGAATATGATATCGCCATTTTGTGCATTCAGGAGGCACCGTGCCAAAATATAAGAACGGTACATAAAATATTTTCCAAAAATCGAATGAAATTCAAAATTAAGCGGCATCTCGGGGGTCAAAGAAATTCATAAGTTGCCTCTTTATGTCATTTTAATGGCCGTTTGTCATGTAGGGGGCGTGAATAACTCGAACGTATTTTAGACTTGACGATATCATAAACCAGCGAACGGTGCATTCAACAAGTATATTACATTTTGGCAATATTCCGAGTACTCTGGCGCCAACAAAGTACTCTGTACACTGAGAAAAGATATGTATTGAACTGAAAGAATATTCCTTTGAACAGTACTAATGAAATATTTTGTTAATTCAAAGAATAATTATGTGATTTAAGGTGAAGTGAGACCCCCCTCAAATCAGTCGATTCGAATACAACACTTTTTTTTCACTCCGAGACCTTGTATTCTCATTGTTTTGGCATAGAAGCGCATACAACACTTTTTTTGCCTTTATCCCGTTCAAATGCGAGTTTATCGATTACCAGAGTGTTCTAAATTGTCGTAAAATTGTCCTNAATATTGGTCCAAATAGGGGGCACCGAATCATTTGAAACTTCAATACGTGATTATGAACACCATAAGAAAGAACACAATGCTGGTAAAATTTCATTATTCAGAAAAAAAAGAAAAAATACACATTTTTTTTATTTTAAATCAAATTTCACCAGTATTGCATTCTTTCTTAGAGCCTTCATCATCACGTGCTGGAGTTCGAAATGATTTGATGCACCCAGTTTGGAGAATAGTTTTACAAATATTTTGTAATATATTATATATATAGAATGACCGTTTCATATCACCTTAAATACGCGTGGTGAACGATTCTCCTCAACAATCGGGATTTGGCCGGATCGAAGGTTAGCAATCGATTAATAATAACAATGAAACGTGCGATTAAATGGCCGTGGCCCTTTCTAAGGTGTCAGCCAACATGCAGAAATGATTTATTAATAATAACGCCCCCGGGCAGAGTGTCATCTTCATCTGGCACGAGCATTAGCTTCTTGTAGCAATTGTGGTTAGCGGAATTTTGAGATGCTGACGAATGATGTCAGAAATATGGATTTTATTCAAGACGTTGGGGGTTTGTTCTGTTCCCAGGTAGCTTACGAGTGAAGGGGTTAGTGAACGAATCGGGTTCGTTACCCTCGTTTGCAAGATAAATATCTTGGTATTGTCATCAAGATATTGTTTTGTTCTAGAGTAGAACTCGATTTGTTCTGCAATAAATCTGGGCTTTGTAAAATAAGATTTAAAATAGATATTTCTGGGTGGGAGGGTGAACGTCGGAGATGATAAAATAGTGCACGATACGGGGACCAATCTTTTTTTTTTAATTGTTAAATATTGTTGCATTCAATTTCAATCTATCCGGTTATTTTATTTTCGGATGAAACTCAATTTATTCTCAAATATAATAATGAGTTTCGTGAAATTAGATTTAAGATGGATATTTTTGGAAATGAAGGTAAATTTTGAGGTGAAAGTCGGAGATAACAACATGGTGCATGATATGGCGATCATATATATTCCTTTTTAATTGTTAAATATTGTTGCATTCAATTTCAATCTATCCGGTTATTTTATTTTCGGATGAAACTCAATTTATTCTCAAATATAATAATGAGTTTCGTGAAATTAGATTTAAGATGGATATTTTTGGAAATGAAGGTAAATTTTGAGGTGAAAGTCGGAGATAACAACATGGTGCATGATATGGCGATCATATATATTCATTTTTAATTGTTAAATATTGCAGTCGATTTCAATCTATCCGATTATTTTATTTTTGGATAGTAGCAACACTTCTCTACAATTTTTTAATATTAGGATACTCGTTTTTAAGGTCTTTGATTATGTTTAATTTCATCTCCTGCGAAACTGTACTCTATGGAATTAGATTCGAAAAGAGTACTTTTTTGCGTACGTATGAGTTTTGCGGTGACCCGCGAAGGAGAGAACAAACAGTGCATGAAACCGCAACCAAACATGTTTTCTGATATTTAAGAATTTTATTGCATTTGCCTTCAAACTCTCCGAATATTTTCAACTTCTTCTTCGTTAAATCTGAATATGAATAAATAGAATTTAAAACAAGTACTTCGGGTACGAGTAAATTTTGCATTGAACTTCAAAGGAGAAAAGAAACATTGTATGAAACCGAAATCAAACATGTTTTCTGATATTTAAAAATTTTATTGCACTTGGCTTCAAACTCAGAATATTTTGAACTCCTTCGTTAAATCTGAATTTAAATAAATAGAATTTAAAACAAGTACTTTGGGTACGAGTAAATTAGGCAGTGAAATTCGGAGGGGAGAACAAACAATGTATGGAACCGAAACCAAACATGTTTTTCAAGATTTAAAAATCTTATTGCACTTGGCTTATAACTCTCCGATTATTTTCAACTTCATCTCCGTTAAATCTGAATTTGAATAAATAGAATTCAAAACAAGTACTTCGGGTACGAGTAAATTATGCAGTGAACTTCGAAGGAGAGAAGCAACAATGTATGAAACCGAAATCAAACATGTTTCCTGATATTTAAAAATTTTATTGCATTTGCCTTCAAACTCTCCGAATATTTTCAACATCTTCTTCTTTAAATCTGAATTTAAATAAATAGAATTTAAAACAAGTACTTCGGGTACGAGTAAATTATGCAGTGAACTTCGAAGGAGAGAAGAAACAGTGTATGAAACCTCAAACAAACATGTTTTTCGAGATTGAAAAATTGTATTGCACTTGGCTTCAAACTCTCCGATTATCTTCAACTTCTTCTTCGTTAAATCTTAATTTTAATAAATACAATTGAAAACAATTACTAGGTGTACGGGTAAATTTTGCAGTGAACTTCGGAAGGGAGAACAAACAGTGTATGAAACCGCAACCAAACATGTTTTTCGAGATATAAAAATTTTATTGTACTTGTCTTCAAACTCTGCGATTATTTTAAACTTCTTCTTCGTTAAATTTGAATTTGGATAAATAGAATTTAAAACAAGTATTACGTGTACGGGTAAATTTTGCAGTCAACTTTAAAGGTGAATTTCGAATCGAAGAAAGGTAAATTTTGCAGTGAAGGTAAGTACAAACAGTGCATGAAACCGCAACCAAACATGTTTTTGCAAATTATCACATATAGTGGACTTGAACATCCAAGTTCACAGATGACTTACGAGGGCCTGAGCATCTGGAGCGAGATGTTGATAAGCTGTGTTCAACTGGTTCAACAATTGGGCGCAAACGGGTTCATTTGTGTCGCTTCCACTGCTGCTGCTGGTCTCCACCATGGGATCTCTTGAACTGGGTTCTAAAAAAATGGGAAATATTAATTAACACGAAAAATCCAGCACGCAGAGTTTGTCAAAGTGTATAGCGTTTTTATAAGGTACTGGGCTCTAAATAAAAAAAATATAAAAAGTAATTAACATGAACAATTCAGTCTGAAAAGATCCGCTGAAGTGTCCAGTGCTTTTCTAAGGCACTGCCCAGGCAACCCATGAAGTGGAATATACGTAAATTATTCGTCTAAATTAGGTCTATAGGTATAGCAAATGTATATCGTCTATTATCCACCTAAAAAATATCAAAAGTGTATATATAATTATCTATGTCTCTTGTAGATGAAAATTATATATCCACTATTGATCTACAAATATCTACTTATTTCTTGACGCATACAAAATATATAATAGCTCTAGTAGACATTTACCAAAGGTTAATCAACATCGTTGAAAATACGTTTAGGAAAATAAAAAGACACCTCATGTAACCTAACAGTTTTTATACATACTTAATGTTTATATCTAAATTCCAAATTGATAAAACTGTTAATTTCGTCCATACTCTGATTTTTTATTTAATTCCTCTTTGTCTGGGGACCATACATCATGATTTTTTACCACTGTGTAAATTATGATGTATTACCAGGCACCGTATGAAGTATAATATATCTATAATGGACGTACACATTAGGACATAAGTATAGAAAAGTTACATTATCTATGGTATGAATAATAAAAATATCCCGTAAATATATATGTAAATCTTTTTCAGGCTTATATTTTCAACAGAGTATATCATAGAAGTTTAGATAATCTGTATAGAAATCTAAACTATTCGAAAACGTTAAATTGATAGTTTATATTCAGATTAATATTTATTTTACTCTGCTCAAAAAGTGTTATGAATTTAATTTCTTTTTGACAAATAGATATGAATATCTATAGACCATCTATTGTAGATATCTACGATATACGTATATATTACATACTATGTCCGAACATCTAGCCTTTGAGTGGATCTACAATAGAGTCCATAGATATCTATATATATCTTACATACGTTCAATAAACATTTATATACGATTAATTTACGAATATTCCACGTTCCACAGTGCCTGGGTGGGCTCTAAACAATACATATAAAAAGTAATTAACACAAAAAGAATTAGCTTGAAAGAAATAAATCAAAATGTCCAGCGCTTTTCTACTACACAGATTTGCGTTTTGAAACTCCATAAGGAAAAAGTAGACTCGTTGTTCTCGTCAAGAAATACAAACAAAAATATATAAACAGTAATTAACACGAAATGAATTAGCTTGGAAGAAATAAATAAAAATGTCCAGCGCTTTTCTACGACACAGATTTGCGTTTTGAAACTCAATAAGGAAGAAGTAGACTCGTTGTTCTCGTAAAGAAATACAAACAAAAATACATAAAAAGACAAACAAAAATATATAAAAAGTAATTAACACGAAATAATTAGCTTGAAAGAAATCAATCAAAATGTCCAGCGCTTTTCTACGACACAGATTTGCGTTTTGAAATTCGATAAGGAAAAAGTAGACTCGTTGTTCTTGTCAAGAAATACAAACAAAAATATATAAAAAGACAAACAAAAATATATAAAAAGCAATTAACATGAAAAGAATTAGCTTGAAAGAAATAAATCAAAATGTTTAGCGCTTTTCTACGACACAGATTTGCGTTTTGAAATTCGATAAGGAAAAAGTAGACTCGTTGTTCTTGTCAAGAAATACAAACAAANAATTGAATTTGCAAAAACTCCTTCCTAGACGTAAGTCTTCCATGGAAGGATTTTGCGTGTTCACGAAATGGCACTTTGTGGATATAAATCAGATATAAATTACATATAAGTGAAAAATAATTTATATAGTTTATGTCCGAGTAGATTAAGGCCACCTCTAGCTTGAAGCTTTTGTTAAATTGAATTTGCAAAAACTCCTTCCTAGACGAAGAGACACTTAAATTGAAACTTGATCTTCTTAACGAGGAGCTAGTTAGAAATTTGAGTTGTCAGTCGAATATTTTTTACAGCATTGCCAAAGAGAGTAAAAGAATTTTTTCTCATGGTTTTCTCTTCCTCTTTTATGTTTTTATATTTTTCACATTGGATTGTGTTTCTATCAGGCTAAATGAAATCAATCCTCGGAATGAAACTTTTACGAAGATTGGCTAGGGTTACTAAGAACAAATCCGAAGGATGCAGAAATTTGAGTTGTCAGTCGAATATTTTGTACAGCATTGCCAGAGTGTAAAAAAATTTATTCCTTCGAAGTTTTCTCTTCCTTTTTCATGTTTTTATATATCTCGTTTTTGTTTGTGTTTCTGTCAGAGTAAATGAAATCAATCCTCGAAATGAACCTGATACGAAGCTTGACTAGAAACACCAAGAACAAATCCGTAGAATACAGAAATTTTAGTTGTCAGTCGAATATTTTTTACAGTATTGTCAAAGCGCTTAGAACAATTTTTTTTTCGAGGTTTTCTCTTCCTTTTTCATATTTTTATTTTTTCCGCATTTGATTGTGTTTCTGTCAGGCTAAATGAAATCAATCCTCGGAATGAAACAGATACGAAGCCTGGCTAGAGCCACTAAGAGCAAATCCAATTGAGCTGGAAAGTTAGAGTTCAAATCCGACGACGTACAATAATCTAGAATATCGACTAGAGACTTTTCAAGAAAAAAACTCCTCCAGAATTTCCTTTTATTTAGAATTTTTCCAAGCAACTTTCTATAAGAATTTTGCGCGACTGCTTTGGAATATCGAGTGCCATTAATGCATCCCGATAACGAAATGTCGGACAAGTTCAAGTAACAATGTTATGCCGTCCTCCATCGGTCTGATGAAATATCCTACATGAGTTTCTACCGAAGCACGTGTTAACTGATTAAATTGCATTTAACGAACCGGTTGATTGGATTTCTAGACCCATTGTTTAAGAGCGACAATAGGTACAGATAACGAGGAAGAGACATTGAACATTTACTGATAGTACTCTAGTAGCAGAAAATATTTGTCCTATATTTTCTATATACTTAACGAATATCGTACATTTTGTAAATATTTACCAGACATTTGAAATAATTGCAAAACGTTTAGTTTAGAATATGTGCAGAAAATATTTGTCCTATATTTTCTATATACTT